AACTACTGAAAAAGGAAAAAAAATATTTTCTTTTTACATATGTTGGTAGGTTTTTTTACGTAAATAAATTTATTGTTAATTGATCAGTTTTTTGAATTAAATTGATTAGTTAATTAAAAAATGACTGAACAGTTGAGCGATATTTCTTACTTAAGTTTTTATCATTTTTGGTTTCACCGGTATCTTTGATGGCACTTAAAATATCCGATTCGTAATCTTTCTTTAACCCATGTTCAAATTTGGCTTCTTTAGCTAGCAGCCTTTCCCTTTGTATTTGAGTTTTTAACTAAAATGTTCGATATTAGTTGATAATTTGTTTTAATTAGCAACAAATATTGATTTGTCCACTCACTTCTGATGGTATTCCTGGTATAACGTATTGCATTATCCCTGTTAGTGCAAAAACTATATGCTATAAAATAAACAAAAATTAGTTTTTTTGCAAGTGATTCATAAAAAATTGATATGCAATTAAGCCTTTTCTAAAATTCATATTTTCCTTGATGATAATTAATTCAACGGAAATCTCTTTAAACCAGCTCAGATCAAAAGCTTTTGTATTTACAATCTCTTAACGTTTTACCCTTAGATGGGGGACTTCCTCAAAGTTAATTGTATAGTTAATTAAGACAGATGCATAATTATAGACAATTTTCTTATCTTCTGGAGAGCATTCTTAGTCTTCATGGTGAACTGGATGTTGGGGTGTTGTGTATTCAGGTGTTGGAGGAAGCAGTTTAAATCGCAAAGTGTTTCATGAAGAGGTTGGCTTTGACCGGATTTAGTTGGCTTTAAAAACTTTAAAAACTTTTGAAAACTTTTTTTGCTACGCCGGAAGGTAGGGCGGAAGGTCCTCTTCAGCCTGCTTTCAGGAATCGTGGGAATGGGTGGGTGGTTGTTCGGGTGAGAAAGATGAGATAGACGAAATGAAGACAGAAGAGAATGAAATATAGTGGAATATTACTGCCCCAGTATTTGCCTAAGTGATCGAAGGTAACCAGAGAAAAATTTGGACCAAGGCAGATGGACCCGGAATCGCACCGACGTCTTCCCGCATGCTAAGTAATGGACTAAACCTCTAGGTCATGCCACTGGGTTGGTGGGCTCCCCATTGCCACCCCATTTATATCTGCTCGTAGATGCCCCCTCCACACCCAATAACTTCCAGTGAGGCAAACCTGAAAGAGCTTGCATACGTCGGCAGGGAAGATTTTGGTCATCAGGTCAAGGCATCCTATCGGCGATACTTTGGTGAACAGCGAGACGCCGTCAAAGTTCACAAGGATGTCTCCTGGTTCGATGTTGATGTCTCGAATCTTGCGTACGAAGTCAGCGAAGTCCTTGACGTTACTGGTACTCTCTCCCACATGATACTGGAGCAACAATGTCAGGTGTTTCGCTAAGTAGTATATTGGTGATCCGGGGGTGCATACTATCGGTCTTAGAGGAATATTAGCCTTGTGGATCATGCGTAATCCATGTAGTCTTGGTGGAACAGCTTCCGTCCTCAGAATACGCTTTTGGATGTCTTCTGGCGAAGGCGATGACTTGATGAGTCGGTTAGCAATGCATAGTCCCGCTTGTGTTGGGTCTTCCTTCAAGGGTTTGTAGGTTTTCAGGTCCAAGAGTTGCTCATTTTTTCTGTTATATTCCTCGATCTTCAGAAAAATCGTTGCGTTTCTTCGTCGGCTGGGAGTATGATGATATCTTCATCTCTGTTAGGCTTTGCAGTGTCCAATCTCCATTCTTCGTCAATGTATTAGTAATACTGACTACAGTAATTCATAAAAAAGATTACAGAAGGTTCTATCACAGTTTAATCTCAATTTTAAATTGTACTGTGCATGTGTAATTGTCTTGCGTTTTATGTAATTTTTACAATTTTTTACAATTACCGTTGAGAAGGTTCCCATCTGAGGACGAGACGTTAGGAGATTGTAAAGAAAAATTTTTGAAAAGTAGTTTATTTTATTTAAATCTCCAAATTATGATTAGTTTTAAATGTACCTCAAAAATAACTACAAAGGCCAATCTGGCAGCAAAGACATGCCAATATTGTGGACTCAATCCGTATGGGTCACGTTCTCCAGGCCCATTTCGGTACCCTTAAATAAAAAAAGTATTTAGAAACTAGCGAAGTAAATGTTCATAAGTATTTTAATTTTATTTCAGCATTAGACTGACCCACCTCTATATTGACAAGTGTCTGGGGGCACATTATTTTCATCCCAATCAGCTCCCATGCCTTGTCCATAATCTGAAGTTTTGAATACCGACAATGACGAGTCAATATAACCAACTAGATCCGTATTATTAGAATATTTATATTTGTATACCATTCGTGGTATAAACTCACTGGTGTATGATATGACAAAGGCCTATAATTGTAGAAAAATAATTAGAGTTATTATCTAACCTGCTATCTCTCAATAATTTTACGATGTCTGTCAATTATTGTACGTACATTTGAAACGATGGCAGCGTAAGTTATCACCCTTAAGATGCCATACCATGCGCCAAGATCGTCCACCCTTTCTGCAAGGGGTCTTCTTGCTTGCGTTACCATTTTGTAAGCATCCAATCGAATTTCCGCAATATTGTTTAGTAATGCAAAAAGTGGAGCCAAGGGAAATGCAGCGACGAAGAGTGTTACAAAACCATATTGTATTACTTAAATAAACCAATTATGAATTAATATTGTTGGGTTAAATCCTCTACGAAAGGCAGGAAACACGGGCTTGGAATCATAGGTTCGACAGGCCGTTGCAACGCGCAATGTATTCGCGGTGCATCGGTCGACTGTGCGCGGTGCAACGGTCGGAACGTTCAAGTCCGACGATTTCAAAGACAAACCGACCCAACCCGCATGCATGAACGTTCGTCGGACGCCTAGTCGACCGTTGCACCGCGCAAGAATGTAAGATATAAGCTACAGGTCGCAATTCTTAATCGATTTTGATTGTTGTTTTCTTTTTTCAATAAAAAGTTTCGGCAGTTTACGACATCATTTCTGAAGTTAGCTCCGCAGAAAGATAAAATTCCGCAGTGCTGCCAATTTTTTTTTCTGTTTTAATGTTGTTTAAATTTTAAAAATTACTTACTCATTTCTAAATATTCATCAAACAAAGCTAAACGTCCAGGATCTTGCAGGTGATAATCTTCCTCCCACCTGGTGTGCTTCCTAGACCGATCTTTGGTTTGATTCCTGTGAGTCCTTTGTCGCCACCAGTTATAAAATTTTCTAACAAACATAAAATTAATTTTTCCTATAAATTTCAAAAATCTGAATTTGATGTACGGGATGAACCAAGCAGGAGAAATCACTAGTTTGTGGTTAAAGTATGATCCTGTTCTTTAATACATACGTAATGTAAGACAACTTACGGGTTAAATAGTTCTAAAAAATTGTTGAACATTTGCTTTCCAATCATAATAATAGCGAGCTGAATACAAAGTTCACTGAGACATCCGGCTGGGTCACACACGTCGCCTTTGACCCTTAAAAATTCTGACGAACGACTTATTGTGTCCCCTGGATAGTCAAAGAAACGACCCTGAAATCAACTATCTTTTAAATTGTTTCTTCGTTTTCTTTCAAACAAGCACAGGGGCCTTAAAAATCATTTAAAAAATGCCTAATCGAAAAATTAAAATCATCGTAATTTTTAAAAAAGTACAGAATACATAAATTACACAAGTATGCATAAATTTGAATTTTAACTAATTAATAAGGAGTAAATCTTCGGTAGTTCTAGTATGACCCCTTTTCTAAGCAGTTGTGTCTTAACTTACTTTAAAGAAAGCAATGTAGATCAAAGAAGAGTAGAAGTTGAGGAATTCAAAAAGGAAAATTTTAAATGTGTATGAGTCTTCATATTCAGTCTGCGTTCTTGGATTCTCTAAATTGGTTAAATAAATCGCTAATTTATGGTAAAACTGAAACATAAGAAATACAAAATAGAAAATCGACATTGTGACGATAGAATTCTATACGCGTTAACTAAATGTGTTGCGATTATTTTGTTTTAATTATGTATAAAAAGGAAAAGAAAAGGTTAGAACCGTTCGAAATGTGGTGTTACAGGCGAATGATGAGGATACCGTGGATAGAGAAGGGTAGAAATGGAGAAATAGGCGAGATAAATTGGTAGGACACCTTCTCAGGCATGAAGGTCTAGTCAGAGACATATTAGAGGCAGAAACAGAAGGTAGGAGGGGTAGAGGTAGACCTAGATTAGATTACTGTTCGCAAATAGTTAAGGATGTGGGATGTTCCAGTTTTAGGGAAATGCGAAAATTAGCTCAGGATAGGAACGAGTGGAGGTGCGTGTCCAATCAGTCTTAGGACTGACGAGCTTATGATGATGATGATGTATAATTCACACGGTTCTATAGAACATAAGTTGTTGTTCAGTGATCTGTCGAAACTGCAGGATACGGATTGTGATTTCGATCTCTCTGGATTTCATCGGTACGCCGCAATAGCTTCGACAGAACATGTACCAACGTACTTGTTCTATTAAACATCGTGCAACGAATAACTGCAGACGGAATGATATACGCCATCTATAGAACTTTCTTACTAATTATAGTATTAATAGTATTAAATTAAGAATAATTTCTAAAGGGTTATTTATTGCAATAGGTAAGGATAATCGACTTACTCTAGTTAAAAACATGATGATAATCAAGTTGATAACGGCAGCGGTGATAGACGTAAATATTTTGGCATGTTTCTGGAAGAAACCGCCACCCCCATATATCACAGACACGAGTGACAGTCTGTATATAATGGTGCCCAGAACTGCACACATTACTGTAATCAACTAAAATACGAACGAAATATATTTTTCACTTTTCTACTCAATGGAAATCAGGTAAATATTGTCTATATTTGAGGGTGATTTTTTGAAGGTATTTCTGTACAGTTAGAACTATCTAATATCTTTTTTAATTAATTCTTTCATTTATATTTTACGATTGTCACAATGATTTTGAGGGTTCGTTTTTATAGAAATTGTTCGGGGTTTTACCGACAAAGATGGTGCTGTTTGTATGCTGGTATAGGGAACAAATATTAACTTACAATGTACTGTGTGTTTATAAAATTATTGATAAATAGTTATTGTATTTACGTAGTAAATAGACATTACCATTAAAAATACTGCACTTCCTGTAACAAAAAATCTCCATGCCTTAGACCAGAGGGGTAAATATGGTTCCTTATCTTTTGTAACAGGATTCGTCCGAAAATGTTTCACGCTGGTTTCAAATTCTGAATCCAAAAAATTAAATTAATAACACTTTTTAATTCGAAGATTTCATCCTTTCTTTCCTTAATTTTCCTGTCAGTGATTATAATTTGACTTACCAGGACGAGGTTCTTCGTCAGTATCAGCTCCTGCCAAGTCCCACTCCCATTGAATCACGCTCTGTTTTCTCCTCCATAGCTCCAAGAAAAGGGTTGCTGAAATGTTAATTTCATCATTCATTGTAACTTTTTCTTTATGTGTTCGTCTTACCCCATAGGCTCATAAAAATAGCAAAGAACACTGTTGCAGGATTGTCGAATAAATATGTCAGTCTTGCGAATTTACAACTGTCTATCAGTTTTTGATAAGTGCAGACCTTGTCGCACTGTGGACACAACGTTATGTTCCCTGGTCCATTCGGATCACAGATTTCTTTACTGGTAACAAAAATGATGCATAGTTTGTATAAAGAGCAACAGGTAGTTATGAAATTTGAGCAACATAGTAGACAGGTACACATTAGGAAGAGATATTAATGTGAAAATTCATTTTAATTTTTTCCCACTATAAGCAACCTCAGGTTACGAAGCAACAATGTTCCCTCAATAATCTGAGGTAGTTGATAGTGGGAAAAAATTAAAATGAATTTTCACATTAGTATTTGATATCAACCCCTATTAAATGTCGAAGCGGTTCATTAAGAAGAGAGTTAAATAAGGATGTACATTACTACTTTATGATTTGTGTTATTAAAGACATTAGCATGCTTTTTGTGGATGATACAGTAGCATTAGCATCTAGCGAGGAGGAATTAGCTCTAAATCAAATGGAAGCGGTATTTGCACAAAAGTGTTGTATAAAAATTAGTAAAAATAAAATAAGAATGTTGGTATGTAAGGGATGCAGAAGTAGAGTAAGAGCTAATACAAAAATAGGAGACGAAAAACTACAGCAAGTCGTCGATTTTTCGTATTTAGGGGGTCATGGATAACTGTGGAAGTCAATAAGAAATAGGTAATTGATGAAGCAGGAGTTAAAAGAGTCTCTCTAGTTTTAGCGAATTGTGAAAAATGGTTCAAGATTGAAAGAAATAGAGATATGTATCCAATGAGTCTTTGGACTGAAAATCCTTTTCATGATAATGATCTAATGATGATGTAGTATTGAAAGAAATAGAGATGTGTATCCAATGAGTCTTTGGACTGAAAATCCGTTTCATGGTAATGATGATGTAGTATTTCATTAAATTACAAATGCGTTCATAACACACCTTGGTATATTGTCTTTACCATCCATGGTGCACAACCCATACAGAAAGCAGAGAGTTCCAACAATAGCTGGCGCATATAACATTTTCGTATAAAATCCAAGCCAACAGAAATACAGGGCGATCTTGTCTCCAAAATATCTTCTGACCATGCTCAGGGGTTGCTTCTTGTACCATTTTGCCGGTCTCGCCCATTCCAAATACAGCATCTATTACAAAAATAACTAAAGGTATGTATTGATTAATCCAATTGATTATTTGAGTGGTGTTCCCATGCCCCTTGTTTAGCCACAAATGTTTCGACACCCTCGCTAAACAAATGACACTGCAGCACTGACTAGAAGCTCAACAAGTTTCATCTGATACTGGCCCATTACCTTGGACTATACAAAGGAAAACAAAAGGAATTCTAGGTTTCTGTTTCTTACCCTTCTGTCGAGTATTGTCCCATTGTCTTCCTCTTTATCCCAACGTCCTTCGTGTAGTGGGAAACACGACAAGTAGGTGTAATCATTTAATAACCTTCTAATTCCTACCTAAAAAATTAAAGAGTGTCTATTAAAAGTAAGAGTAGGCCACTGAATTGTTCACGAAAAATTAAGCTTTAATATTAATGTGAAAATTTATTTAATTTCTATCCACTACAAATTGCCTCAAATTAACAAGGAAAAATTGTCACTGCTGTGACAGACTCGCCGGGAGACGAACCCGAGACAGTAACAACGATGAAACATACTTATTAAGTCACAGGTTTGTTTTTATTAATTTGAGGTAATTTGTATTGCAGAGAAATTTAAATATATTTTCCCATTAATATTAAAAGTTTCTTAAAGTATTTCATATAAAATCAAGCTTTACTTTCGTTTTCCAATGTTTAGTACTTGAGCAATCAACGTTTAGGATTAATTAAGACTAACCAATTACTAATTAAGACCTCATCCTTGGTCTGAATGAGTCATATTTATAAGTTTTGTACAGGATCAAGTGGTATATGTATTTGATGGTTTGTGAAAGTTTAACATGATGATACCTTATCTGTATCGTCGAATTTTGCTCTAAGGAGTATTTGCATCACTATAAGGCTTCTTTGGGCAGTGGAGTAGGTTGTATGTCTGTCCTTTACAATAAATCTGAAAGAAATATAAACACATCAGTTAAAACAGTTCTTTTGTAATAATAGCATCCACAATAAATTGCAGTTTAACTTGAACCCCATCCCCATGGTTTTACACTTCAACCCCCCCCCCAAAGCATGATATGGTCTTTTTAACACTTTTAATATTCATGGAAATTTTATTTTATTATTTAAAGCAGTAAACATTAACATTGCTAAGGAGTTGTTGGANAGCCGTTGCAGTTGGACACCTTCCTTCATGAAAGACAGTTTGAGTATAGAAATACGTTAGGTGGGTGGAACATTCTCCTTATATAACAAATTGGGCTAGTTTGTAGTTAATTTATAGGTAAACTGGTTTTCGTGACCAACCGCAATAAATGACACAAAGAAATGCAAACGAATGAATATAAACAACGATCAGATAAAACTTCCTTACAAAAATTTATACTCTTTTGTTAACAAGTTAGACATTAGAATTTACGTTTAAACAGGTGCGGAAGTTACACTGCTAAAGAAATTAGTTTTGCACAAAAAGTAACTAACTGTACGAGATACATCTTCAATGTTTGGTGATGCTGTTAAGCAGTAGTAGTGAAACAAAACGCTAAAAATTACAAATACAAAGCTTCCACTATCTTTAAAACCATCATAAACCACGCGCTCATAAAATGGTGAAACCATTTGATCTGATTATTTATATTCAGCATTTAGCACCTTCGTTAAAACTAAACAAGTTGCAAATTAGGGTATTCTATTTTGTAGATAAACAGCAGAAAATTCTATTATCTCCAAAACAGTTTTGTATATCCACAAAACAGGTTTAATTACTTTTTGAAAAAGGTACATTGTCCATTTTTTTTTTCAAAAGTCAATATAATCAGTTGACAATGCATTAATGAACTGATTTTTTTAACTATCTTTACCCACTACAGATAACCTCACATTAATTACCTCTTCGTAACTTAGTGGTAGAGAACATGGCATAAAGCTAGAGGCCTGGGTTCGATTCCTAGTGAAGGAGTAACAGCACCAACAATTTTTCCTTATTAATTTTAGGTTATCTGTAGTGCGTAAAGTTGATTCAAAAAAATTAATTCATTAATGCATTGAATTTAACTCTACAAAAATTCAAAGTGTCCAAGCAGTTAACAGTTTAACTCTGTACTTGAAGGACTTGTAATGATCAAATTTCCGAATGTTCGTTAATTACTTTCACTGTAACATTCAGATTTGGGAAAATATGAAACGTCCAAAATTACAATAAAATTCATTAATCTAATTAATGAAATAATCAGTCAACGATATGCCTACTTTTAGATCATTTATAGGTATACAAGCCATGCTGATGGTTTACTTGGCAACATTGTGGGAGTCCCAGGATTTCCCAGTTAATGAGAGTTACAACTAATACATTGGTTATTGGTGGTTCTTTCGTTGTTCTATAATATTTTAATTTTAGCGGAAATATCGTGCAATAAATGCAGAATAAGGATGCTTATAGTATGTTTTAGTGATTAATACCTTTGGATACAGTTTTTAATTCCAGAAGGTAATATTAACTATTAAGTGAAAGAAGTGAAAATGTTTTAGGTCAGATTGTGTGTTTTAGTTGTAAATTTTCTGGTTTATTTCTTAACAAAATGCCTCGTCGTTGTGTTCCCAGTTGCAATTCAAACTATAAATCATCTTTAAAATGTAAGTACAAGTATGTCTATATTTTTATTCCCAAAAAAATTATGAAATGCGAAAATATTCTGCAGTTTACATACATCACTTTAACGGAAGTGACATTATAAAAACAGTAAAAAAAAGTATCTACTGCTGGTAATGTTTTGGGTGTGCTTTTAACATATCCTAAATTACCAGATAATGATGAAATAGAAATTTAAATTGTTGAAAAGTCTCCCTTAAACATAAGTCAGTTTATTGAACTTTTTAAATTCCGATTTTTTAATGAATTGTGATTTAGATGACTCCTTAAAAGTTTGCAGTTCATTCTGTTCCTAAAAAGATAACTTGCAACAATTGTGTTTCGCTCATAGTAAACAATAAAGGCTCTTGCGTTGGAGATATTTATTTTGATTATTTACAAAGGGGAGGACTTTCTGTTCCTACTGATAATATTAGTATAGTTTTTTNATATGGTTCCTTATCTTTTGTAACAGGATTCGTCCGAAAATGTTTCACGCTGGTTTCAAATTCTGAATCCAAAAAATTAAATTAATAACACTTTTTAATTCGAAGATTTCATCCTTTCTTTCCTTAATTTTCCTGTCAGTGATTATAATTTGACTTACCAGGACGAGGTTCTTCGTCAGTATCAGCTCCTGCCAAGTCTAGGTGTAACAGCTGTAAGAAACCTAGGTACCTAAAATTAATTCTAATTGTGCATAAACTGGTAAAAATACTTTGTTATATGCATCGTCAGTTAAGTGAAGGTAATCGTGAAGCATTTTCCTAGATATTGTACCGTTGTTTTCAATTATATTTTTATGTATAGGTATAATAATCACTTTTCCGTTATATTTGCTATCAGAAAATATTTCAGTTAATAATTCGTTAACTTTTTGGTTTGTTTCGCGTCCTCTATTTGGAAATTGGCCTTTCGGCAGAAGGGTCTACAAATATAAACAAAATTACTATTAAAAACTGTAACTAAAATTTCCGAAATGGTTCTTAATTTACCGGAAATAGTATTGTAACATCATCTAATTTTTTCGTAATAATTTCTACCAAATTAACAATGCCTTCTGAAATTTCTTCGACAGATTGACTTATATTATTTGTTCCCAAGTGCAATACAACAACTTTTATTTTACAATTAAAATCTAGTTCTCCATTTTCAACTCTCCACAGTACGTTCTCCACTCTAGGGAATATACAGCGCTTATTATATTTATTATAGGAATAGTTTGTTATTATTATTATTTCTACCGATCTCCTCCAATTCCATAATTAACGCATTTGAATTTGCTGATTTTTTCTTTCCATAATGAACTTGTTTGAATACGTTCTATAATAGAATCTCCAATCCAAACTACATCTGCATCACAAGATTTCGATTTCTTTTCATATTCGATGTGCTAAATTTCAAATTGTTTATAATTTGTCACATTTAAGTTCAAAAATAAATACTATTTCAGTAATAACACTAGTTATTACCTATATTCTTTTATTTACTATTAAATTACTGTGAAATATTGTATAATTACCTACCTTGTTTTGCCAACAGTTATCTTTTTTGGGTTGAGGTATTAAACACGAATTCATTTGTTTATAATTTTATTTGCATATTATAAATCCTTAAAAGCAGTACGTTTCTGTACGTGAATGCCCAGTTTATTGAACGGTTCTGTTCATTTTTACACCCACATCGTTCCGATTCGGAATTGTTCGCAAATAAATATACCAGGACGTTTAAGCAAATTTTGTAACATTCATAATTTATTACTTTTTAACTAATAACGACTTTGTTAAGTTATAATATAGTTACTACATACATACATACAGCTAAGGATAGTTTCATTATATGTAGTTGTAATTATTGAAATCAAGTTATAAATATTACAAAGATTTGTTAAATTTTAGTGAAAACCGCGTGAAAATCGATTAAGAAACACCGGAGTTGTATCAATCTAAAGTGTTTTCCTTTAAAAACTTTAAAGCTTGGGGATTCCGACTTCCGGTAAATTAATTCATAACCACATACCAAATACCACCCACGCAACTAACAGGTGCTAGTTGACCTAATTTCCTATTGGTTATTAAATTGGCGCGGAAGGCGATAACCAATCGGGCGCTTCAAATTCTTTTATAACAATAACACTTCGCACGTGTAAGTTAGTCACTCTCGATGCTTTGGAGGCTGTACGTCGTTCTGCTAAAATTTAGGTTAGAATTACGTAATAAATAAGTTTATTCAAATACTACTGTTGCCACTTTAGAAATGCTGAAAATAAATTACTGATTTTGGATGAAAACATTCGAAAAATAAATGTCACAGTAGGTAATAATAAATGAAATAAAAAAGATGAAAAATTGTTTATTTACTTACTATATATGCATATTACAATAGATTAAGTGAAGTACAATTTTAAATTTGGTGTTGTATTAATCGTTGTTAAATAATTGGAATTGAGAGAAGAATCTTTATAAAAAAATCGTTAAATTTTCCCCAATGTTTATTGTATGTTTTCTCATCATTGACTTTTTCAACCCATAAAATCTTTCGGGATTTGGATCGCACCACAAAAATAATCTACATATTTTTTTTTCTTATTATCACGTTACTGTCCAGAATGGGTCTTTACCATTTTGTTGATTTTGGCGACTAACTTCTACATGGGCATCCAAACCATCGGAAATTTTACTTAGTCTTCTTGCCCATGATGTTCTAACTACTGAAAAAGGAAAAAAAATATTTTCTTTTTACATATGTTGGTAGGTTTTTTTACGTAAATAAATTTATTGTTAATTGATCAGTTTTTTGAATTAAATTGATTAGTTAATTAAAAAATGACTGAACAGTTGAGCGATATTTCTTACTTAAGTTTTTATCATTTTTGGTTTCACCGGTATCTTTGATGGCACTTAAAATATCCGATTCGTAATCTTTCTTTAACCCATGTTCAAATTTGGCTTCTTTAGCTAGCAGCCTTTCCCTTTGTATTTGAGTTTTTAACTAAAATGTTCGATATTAGTTGATAATTTGTTTTAATTAGCAACAAATATTGATTTGTCCACTCACTTCTGATGGTATTCCTGGTATAACGTATTGCATTATCCCTGTTAGTGCAAAAACTATATGCTATAAAATAAACAAAAATTAGTTTTTTTGCAAGTGATTCATAAAAAATTGATATGCAATTAAGCCTTTTCTAAAATTCATATTTTCCTTGATGATAATTAATTCAACGGAAATCTCTTTAAACCAGCTCAGATCAAAAGCTTTTGTATTTACAATCTCTTAACGTTTTACCCTTAGATGGGGGACTTCCTCAAAGTTAATTGTATAGTTAATTAAGACAGATGCATAATTATAGACAATTTTCTTATCTTCTGGAGAGCATTCTTAGTCTTCATGGTGAACTGGATGTTGGGGTGTTGTGTATTCAGGTGTTGGAGGAAGCAGTTTAAATCGCAAAGTGTTTCATGAAGAGGTTGGCTTTGACCGGATTTAGTTGGCTTTAAAAACTTTAAAAACTTTTGAAAACTTTTTTTGCTACGCCGGAAGGTAGGGCGGAAGGTCCTCTTCAGCCTGCTTTCAGGAATCGTGGGAATGGGTGGGTGGTTGTTCGGGTGAGAAAGATGAGATAGACGAAATGAAGACAGAAGAGAATGAAATATAGTGGAATATTACTGCCCCAGTATTTGCCTAAGTGATCGAAGGTAACCAGAGAAAAATTTGGACCAAGGCAGATGGACCCGGAATCGCACCGACGTCTTCCCGCATGCTAAGTAATGGACTAAACCTCTAGGTCATGCCACTGGGTTGGTGGGCTCCCCATTGCCACCCCATTTATATCTGCTCGTAGATGCCCCCTCCACACCCAATAACTTCCAGTGAGGCAAACCTGAAAGAGCTTGCATACGTCGGCAGGGAAGATTTTGGTCATCAGGTCAAGGCATCCTATCGGCGATACTTTGGTGAACAGCGAGACGCCGTCAAAGTTCACAAGGATGTCTCCTGGTTCGATGTTGATGTCTCGAATCTTGCGTACGAAGTCAGCGAAGTCCTTGACGTTACTGGTACTCTCTCCCACATGATACTGGAGCAACAATGTCAGGTGTTTCGCTAAGTAGTATATTGGTGATCCGGGGGTGCATACTATCGGTCTTAGAGGAATATTAGCCTTGTGGATCATGCGTAATCCATGTAGTCTTGGTGGAACAGCTTCCGTCCTCAGAATACGCTTTTGGATGTCTTCTGGCGAAGGCGATGACTTGATGAGTCGGTTAGCAATGCATAGTCCCGCTTGTGTTGGGTCTTCCTTCAAGGGTTTGTAGGTTTTCAGGTCCAAGAGTTGCTCATTTTTTCTGTTATATTCCTCGATCTTCAGAAAAATCGTTGCGTTTCTTCGTCGGCTGGGAGTATGATGATATCTTCATCTCTGTTAGGCTTTGCAGTGTCCAATCTCCATTCTTCGTCAATGTATTAGTAATACTGACTACAGTAATTCATAAAAAAGATTACAGAAGGTTCTATCACAGTTTAATCTCAATTTTAAATTGTACTGTGCATGTGTAATTGTCTTGCGTTTTATGTAATTTTTACAATTTTTTACAATTACCGTTGAGAAGGTTCCCATCTGAGGACGAGACGTTAGGAGATTGTAAAGAAAAATTTTTGAAAAGTAGTTTATTTTATTTAAATCTCCAAATTATGATTAGTTTTAAATGTACCTCAAAAATAACTACAAAGGCCAATCTGGCAGCAAAGACATGCCAATATTGTGGACTCAATCCGTATGGGTCACGTTCTCCAGGCCCATTTCGGTACCCTTAAATAAAAAAAGTATTTAGAAACTAGCGAAGTAAATGTTCATAAGTATTTTAATTTTATTTCAGCATTAGACTGACCCACCTCTATATTGACAAGTGTCTGGGGGCACATTATTTTCATCCCAATCAGCTCCCATGCCTTGTCCATAATCTGAAGTTTTGAATACCGACAATGACGAGTCAATATAACCAACTAGATCCGTATTATTAGAATATTTATATTTGTATACCATTCGTGGTATAAACTCACTGGTGTATGATATGACAAAGGCCTATAATTGTAGAAAAATAATTAGAGTTATTATCTAACCTGCTATCTCTCAATAATTTTACGATGTCTGTCAATTATTGTACGTACATTTGAAACGATGGCAGCGTAAGTTATCACCCTTAAGATGCCATACCATGCGCCAAGATCGTCCACCCTTTCTGCAAGGGGTCTTCTTGCTTGCGTTACCATTTTGTAAGCATCCAATCGAATTTCCGCAATATTGTTTAGTAATGCAAAAAGTGGAGCCAAGGGAAATGCAGCGACGAAGAGTGTTACAAAACCATATTGTATTACTTAAATAAACCAATTATGAATTAATATTGTTGGGTTAAATCCTCTACGAAAGGCAGGAAACACGGGCTTGGAATCATAGGTTCGACAGGCCGTTGCAACGCGCAATGTATTCGCGGTGCATCGGTCGACTGTGCGCGGTGCAACGGTCGGAACGTTCAAGTCCGACGATTTCAAAGACAAACCGACCCAACCCGCATGCATGAACGTTCGTCGGACGCCTAGTCGACCGTTGCACCGCGCAAGAATGTAAGATATAAGCTACAGGTCGCAATTCTTAATCGATTTTGATTGTTGTTTTCTTTTTTCAATAAAAAGTTTCGGCAGTTTACGACATCATTTCTGAAGTTAGCTCCGCAGAAAGATAAAATTCCGCAGTGCTGCCAATTTTTTTTTCTGTTTTAATGTTGTTTAAATTTTAAAAATTACTTACTCATTTCTAAATATTCATCAAACAAAGCTAAACGTCCAGGATCTTGCAGGTGATAATCTTCCTCCCACCTGGTGTGCTTCCTAGACCGATCTTTGGTTTGATTCCTGTGAGTCCTTTGTCGCCACCAGTTATAAAATTTTCTAACAAACATAAAATTAATTTTTCCTATAAATTTCAAAAATCTGAATTTGATGTACGGGATGAACCAAGCAGGAGAAATCACTAGTTTGTGGTTAAAGTATGATCCTGTTCTTTAATACATACGTAATGTAAGACAACTTACGGGTTAAATAGTTCTAAAAAATTGTTGAACATTTGCTTTCCAATCATAATAATAGCGAGCTGAATACAAAGTTCACTGAGACATCCGGCTGGGTCACACACGTCGCCTTTGACCCTTAAAAATTCTGACGAACGACTTATTGTGTCCCCTGGATAGTCAAAGAAACGACCCTGAAATCAACTATCTTTTAAATTGTTTCTTCGTTTTCTTTCAAACAAGCACAGGGGCCTTAAAAATCATTTAAAAAATGCCTAATCGAAAAATTAAAATCATCGTAATTTTTAAAAAAGTACAGAATACATAAATTACACAAGTATGCATAAATTTGAATTTTAACTAATTAATAAGGAGTAAATCTTCGGTAGTTCTAGTATGACCCCTTTTCTAAGCAGTTGTGTCTTAACTTACTTTAAAGAAAGCAATGTAGATCAAAGAAGAGTAGAAGTTGAGGAATTCAAAAAGGAAAATTTTAAATGTGTATGAGTCTTCATATTCAGTCTGCGTTCTTGGATTCTCTAAATTGGTTAAATAAATCGCTAATTTATGGTAAAACTGAAACATAAGAAATACAAAATAGAAAATCGACATTGTGACGATAGAATTCTATACGCGTTAACTAAATGTGTTGCGATTATTTTGTTTTAATTATGTATAAAAAGGAAAAGAAAAGGTTAGAACCGTTCGAAATGTGGTGTTACAGGCGAATGATGAGGATACCGTGGATAGAGAAGGGTAGAAATGGAGAAATAGGCGAGATAAATTGGTAGGACACCTTCTCAGGCATGAAGGTCTAGTCAGAGACATATTAGAGGCAGAAACAGAAGGTAGGAGGGGTAGAGGTAGACCTAGATTAGATTACTGTTCGCAAATAGTTAAGGATGTGGGATGTTCCAGTTTTAGGGAAATGCGAAAATTAGCTCAGGATAGGAACGAGTGGAGGTGCGTGTCCAATCAGTCTTAGGACTGACGAGCTTATGATGATGATGATGTATAATTCACACGGTTCTATAGAACATAAGTTGTTGTTCAGTGATCTGTCGAAACTGCAGGATACGGATTGTGATTTCGATCTCTCTGGATTTCATCGGTACGCCGCAATAGCTTC